ACATTTTTTACCCAACGTTTTTACAGTGTAGTGAACTCTATTTGACCATGTTCAATGACGTTGAAGTGTGCCATGACCAGGCATCTAATCACAGAAACACTAACTCAATTAAATTTGTATCATTTCTCGCAAGATTTAAATTACATGCTACAGTGAAATTCTATAACAGGGACTTGAAGAGAAATAAGACTGATGAAAAGGTAAAGAACAAGAGAAAAAAAAACAAAACAGGAAACTGATAAAAAAATATCGCAACTGCATTTTATTACAGTTTTCCTGCTCCCAGGGTAACAGACATGTTTCCTTTTAATTATATTTGTCTGGGTAAATGTTGCATCATAAAAAAGGCAAAAAATAGTACCACTTTTGTATAGTTTATTAGTGTCGCTGGTTTAAAACATAAGTGAGGTTTATTTTGAGGCGAAAGACAACCTGAGCCCTGTCCTGAATAAAAGTGAGTCTGAAGAAATTACTTGATAAGACTCGCTTTTTAGAACCAGGGAAGAATCCCCTTCGAATTCCAGTGATGGCGTCCCAATGATCTTTGTATATTTGCTGTTTGCTCTGACGATCTCTCAGACTTGGTTGGAAATCGTTGTCAGCTGTAATTACTAAATGCTGAAAACATGCGGGGGGAGTGGCTACCGTTCTCAAATTATGAGCGTTTGGGGGGTGGGTGACAAAAAACCCTTCATGACAGTGGTGTGTCCAACGGGGGAGCAATTACCCCCAGGCGACATTTTGCAGGTTTTTTATTTTATTTTTTTATGTTTTTGATTACAATTGACTCGCTCACACTGTCAAGTAATTCCCCAGAATTACCCAAAAGACCCGAATTAGTTTTGTCTTAACCTCAATAAAGCAAGTAGGGAAGAATCTCTTTGAACTCAAGACTGCAAATATGAATTTATTAAAGAAATGAAATTAAGTATTTACAAGTATTTACAAAGGAATCAAATTAAATCCATAGGTCTTGCATAATTAGCAAAAATCAAATCAGCTCAAGCATCCATACACAAAGCACATTAAACACAATGCAGCGTTTGGTTGTTCCCAAATTAAACCAAACTAAACATCAAATTAAGCGAAAGTAAACATGTAATAAATTAAAGACAACTTTACGGCATAAAACGAACTTCTGCAAGTGCAAGCAAATTATACAAAAAAAAACTTTGCATGAGCTCAACAGAATGCCAAAGAAACCAGTTGATTAAGCAAGCACTTTAGTTTACGTCCAGGCTTCAAACCTAAATAAGGAAAGAAAAATGGGCCACAAAATAAGCAAAGAAAAACTTAAAAGCAAATTATACTTTGAGTTAGCAGCAATGGGCAAGGAGTACAAACTTCCCATGGAGAGGGTGACGATGATCTTGTACTGGGCCCAAGGCAGCAGCAGATCGTTACCGCTCGATGTTGCCGTGTCCCTGCCGACACTTCTGGTACGGTCTCACGGGGTGAGGTGTTGCGTTACCACTCCGGGGTAAAATAGTTATCTATTAAATTTAAAAGTAACGTGGAAAACTACAAATTTCTATTCCATTGGGCATATACTGAGAAGGTTTCCATCACCTTCAAAATTCAAGTAAAGTAACACAATTACATAAGGCTTCAAAATAATTGCCAGAGTCAATGAGTTTTGCTTTAAACATGACAAAATGAAACTTACGGTAATTCGGGGAAATCGTGGAGTCCGACAATCGACCAACTGGTGGTGATGTCTGGTCAGACTAGGAGAGCGTCGTAATTTGAACAAAGGGGTTCGGTACTGGGGTTTCTCAAACATAAATTAAATTTTTTGTCATTAATCTTTGGTTTCAATTGTTTTTGGTGTAAAAAATCTATTTTTAATTATTCACACAAAACAGAATCACCCTTCCCCCGAAAAGTGAGAGTTCCAAAGTTCGCAGTTAGCCATTTTTCAACTTGGCATCCCACTACTTTCTGGGACCGTAGGACCATTAAGTTTTTCAACTGTACTTTTTATCCATTCTGACCTCAGATGGAAGCCCAAAGAACCAAGTAGTTGATCCAAGCAAAGATTTGCACAATCTCACTATTGGGGGCCAGAAACTCTCCTTCTTCAAAAGAAACTGTGGGGGGCACTGTTCATGCTAATGAGCTCAGGGGAAATAATTGCTGGAATTTTTTTGTGGGCTGCAGCCTTGAGTCATACGTCTGACGGTCGACCTGCATTCGAAACGGACTTGTATAAAGTCTACTGATTTCTCATCGATTACACCGTTGGTGGCGTCTGTTGCTTCCCCAGCTGATAGAGAGATGCTCGTGTGATGTGAGGCACTTCATCGTGTGTTTAAACAAACTACCTGTACACTGTACGCTCATACTAGTGACCAGTTCTGGGTCGTTATCATAACGAATAAATTAGCAAGTGTTGATGGCAGTACCAGTAGATTAAAAAGAATCAGTTATAGTTACACCTACGTGAGATCTGTGAGAACCCTCGCAGCGTTCACTCTGAAATCTGCCGTGCCTTCTGCTTGGCTTGGGCCTTGGCGTCGTCTTTCATGTCATTTTCAGATTCCATCCAAGTGTCATTATGTTAGAAGCAATAGTTCGTGTTTGGGTAGGCATTGTTGGTCTGACGGCTTTATTCACGTCAATGCAGTGTTTCATTGATAGCTCCTTCTTAGCAGAGAGGATCTACACATTGGAAAAAGATGCAGGTAGGTCTGTACACAACAAACTAGATTATTATGCCAATATACGGCGGCCGTGGGATAGTGTGGAGTCTGGTGTGAGAGTTGCAGACCTGTGTTAACCGTCGATAACGGTCAGCGTAGGGTGCAGTGTCAGCTCAGGGTCATAGGCCCATTGCATACAATATACGGAACATATATGTTAGATGTTTCAAGGATGAATTTGCACAGGGGAGATATAAATTAATTTTGGATTTTTGCCCTGCCCGATGTGTCTTTTAACACTGTATGCTCAGTGTATGGCCCCAAAGGCTTGTGAAAAAAACCACAAGCGTACTTAGGTGGGATTCAAACCCACAACCTACTGCTTACTAGAGCAGATATCTTAACTATTCGACCACCGAGCTTGCCGGTGTTGGCAGGCTGATTCAAATCAGATGTACTCAGTGGGTACCGCGCACAACTATTTCAAGGATGGATTTATGCCAGGGAGATGTAAATTAATTTTGGATTTTTTGCCCTGCCCGACGTGTATTTTAATACTGTATGCTCAGTGTAGTCACTCAATCTTTTTGCTGTCTGTCGAGCCATGGAAGAAGGCTGTTGATCTTATTCCACAATTTGTTTTGGCATCAGCCTCTCTTTTATTGTTATCCATAGTTGTGGCAGATTGTTTCTATAAAAGGAAGGTGAAGTCAGAGACTTCATTCGGGACAGTGGGCTGCATCATTGGTGGTCAGTGCCCTGTGTAAGGGGTGCGATCAAAGCTCCTTAACTTCTCAAAAATGTGTGCAATACCCCATCAGCACCCTCATCAAGCATGAAATGCATGAAATGCACAACTGCAGTCTGCAAATCAATACCTAAAGGCTCCTGGAGGAAACACTTCAAGCATAACACCCAAATGCCCCCCTTCCCCCACACACATGTACATATGACCTCCTATTGCTCGTACTCCAGGTTTCGGTGAAGGGCCCCATCAGCCCATTTGAGGTTTGGCAGACACATAAGGAGGGCGCTATTTGGTTTGGGTAAAATCTTTTGTGTTCACCTACATGTGTACTTCACCTACTTTTTTTTCAAATAGCTCCCTGCTATTGTGTCTGCCATGCGTCAAAAAGGCTACTAGGAATTTGCCCACAGGTTTCCAATAGTGGACCCTCACCCAGCCATGGACCCTGTTGTCCCTGTTCAAAGTTCACAATTGGATCAGATATCTTGAACCCACGCTACACTGCAAAATAATGTCTGCAGTCACAGAAAATAATAGGTACCGTATTTGGATGCGTTGCCACATTGCACCGCGGCCATTGAAAAATATTGGGCAATTGGTTCCTGATTTTCCTTGGTCTGTGATTTGAAAATTGTGTGCAAATCCAAGTAGGAGCCTTTCATAAGTCCCACCAATAGGAGAATGGTATTCCTTTTGTATTCCAGCTTTTTTGGTGTTTCCTCCTGCCTGCCAAAAAACAGTTTTGGGGAGTATATTTGGGGGTTTAGGTTCAACTACACGTACAGTACTTCAAAATGAAGTTCCCTTTAAGGAACAGTCAAGGATATTACAAAGAATACTTGGGCTTCAAAGAGGATTTTCAAGACAAGTATTTTCACCAAGAGTTTAACCAGACAGACAAAAATGCGGGTTCAGTAGATAGGACGCCAACATATTAACTTGGGAATCATTTCATTCACAGTTAACCCAGCTTTTGGCAGATTGTTTGGCACCTGGACTTGTCTTGCAGGTGTGGTCAGGATTCTCTGGGCCCTATTCACGAGAAGTAAACCGTAAGTACATGTATTAAAAAGTGTAAAGATGCGGATGTTTTTCTCCAGTGTTTTTTGAAGTTTGTCAGTGAGCGTACTGTAGTCAAATCAGCCAAGTGTACCACGTCCTTTTTTTTTCTATTCCTCACAGCTTATACCTCGCTACGCTGTTCTCGTTTGTGCTAGCTCTGGTCTATTTCTTGGCAGAGTTCCTGATATTTAAGACCGCGGCGCTTACAGTCGGAGTGATATCACCACTCATTGTTGCAGGTTTGATCATGAACAATTTTGCCTCAATTCAAATCCACGTTTGACAGTAGGCTCGGCAAATTGTATATCCAGAAGAAGAATAAGGACTATATCCTGCCCTCTTCCTCGCCAAAAAAAAGAAAAATTGAAGTGGCTCACACCAATTTCACATTAAGAGTTTCTTTATCCTCAAAACAATTAGGGGAAAGGAGGAGATGTGTAATATGTTCAAACCAAACCACAAACAGTACAAAGGTAGTTTGGACAAACACCTTGCACTTTATAATTGCCTATAATTCTAATTTTCGTTTGTAATTTCCCTAATTTTTGGATTCATTTTTCATGATTTGAATTGCACAGGTGGTTCTACGATCCTGATGATTGTTGCATTTCCTGGAATATTTCACAGCCGGGACCCATCAGAGGGGCTTCAGTTAAAGAAACACTGATGAATTTACTTCCATTGGTTTAACAAATATTGGAACTGTGTAACCGACAAGTTACTGTTAAAGGGTGGCAGCAATAAATTTTCATTGACACTTTTCTGCAACTGGGTACTATTTACTGTATTTGACTTGCCTGTGGGTTAAATTGGAAAAGTGCACTTTTCAAACTTTAAAAATTGCCCATGCTTTCCAGGACATTAAGGGCACAGGGAAGACATGGGTCAGTGCAGTTTTTTCAGCAAGTGTCAGCAAGTTTTTTTTGGTCAAACTATGAACCCAGAAGTTTCTCTCAGAAAGCATTTTTGAAAAGAGGCTGCTCACTGACTCTTTGCTCTGTATTTAGACGACATCGAATCACCAAAGAAAAAATTCAGGCCAGCAAAATATTAAAACATCCAGCATTTTTTTTGCACAAACCAATGTAACATTGACATTTTCGTGCCGAGAGGACATCACAGTTTGCTCATGAATAAAGAAATAGGCATTAGTATAAAAACGAGACAGCTGAATTCCCATTTAAATTGAGCAAAATTTGAGTTGAAACTCAAAGGTTCATTTTGAAGGTTTGTATTAAATACATTTTGCAGAAACCCTTTAGATAGATAAATTGTGACCCACAACCCCAATAGATTAGGTTAACTGATGAAATGTTTTTTAATGTGTGCGCTGGCACACCTTGTTATTGCTCAATATGAATAACAGTAAGTATGAATAACAGTAATATGAATTAAAGGCACTGTGCCCCTTCCCCCTAAAGAGCCACGAGACAAGTTAGCTATTTGCTTAAAACAAGAAAGGGTCCAGTCGTGTTAGCACATACAGTGGCTTCCCAGTGGTTGTAAATTGTCATCTTAAAACTTTCAAACCTGTTGTATTTTTGCATCAGATTTATGAAAGTGAAGATTTTATTAATAATTTCGTTGGGAGCAAAAGTTGTTGTCCACTTCAAACATTAAAAGAGAAATTGATTGTTAATCAAAAGAACAGAAACTCACTACTGATGAGTTTGTACTCAGTCTACAGCCTAAATTCTGGGCGAGAGATGTGTCGCAGGTTTTAAAATCACCGGTAAAAAGTGTATAAAAATGGGGAGATATGTAGTGTGACTGGACTGACTCGCCCCTTTTATGCTTTCTGTTAAACGTCATAGCCTGAGTTTTTTCTCTAGTTGAGCATGAAAGTGGGTGCATACGATCACGGAGGATTCTACTTACTTATGTGTACATGTTTCGTACTTCCATGCTGGTTCCACTAGCTTCTAGGTTTAACCTCGACCCCACTTTTGCTTGTTCAACCATATGTGATGATGCAACTTAAAATAAGCAAGGGATGATTCTTTTCTTTCGCAGGAGGCATCCACTTTGAAAGCCAAGTTTATCACATTATCCCTTCATGGAGCTATTGATAGCTAAATAATAGCATTTGTCCTGTCAACCCTATCATGTTGATTTTGATAATAATATAAAGTGCTCTGTACTGTCCACTCAACAAACCAGTATGTGTGTTCATCGGGCGCGTTTCATGAGCTCATACAGGGCAACCCTGACCTGGGGGTGGTCGTGTGTGCTACGTTGTGCATTGTACGCAGTGTTAGATTTTTTTGTGGACGGGGAAAAAGCAAGATCTTTTTATTCATTTTGGGGTCACGATCAGTGGGGTACACATTAAATTTACGTTGTTTCTCAAATGGTGTGGTATTTTAAGATAGTTCTCGTGAACTAAATTTTTTCTATTCCTGTTGCCCTTTAATGAAATCACAACTTTGATGCTTTATAGGGTGCCGAGAGTTACTACGTCACGCGAACAATTTGTGTGTGAAAGGCATTAGGCATTTTTCGTAGTACTGTACACACATGCATTTTCTTGAGTGCACCATTAATTGCGAGACTAGGGAACGCAGAGGTATATAATAGGTATAATCCAGGGGCTAATGCCATGCTGTGTCTCGAAACTTACCCATACATAAACAGTTCACATTGTTGTAATGAAAGTGGATATGCAAACGGTGACTGTCGTTCAGCCTCGTGCCCGTGATGTCGAACAGTGCGTCCAAGTCTACCTGCACTCTCCGCATATCCAAAGCACGTAAATTCCCCTTAAGTGTGTGCAAAATTTTATTGAAATTGGAGGATCTAGTCTAATGACGGTTACTGAGCCACAATCTCGCTGGTGCGCTTCGGACGCAGCCTTTTTCTTCATCCCTGGAATGGACTGGCTCCTTTGTGCCCTTCCCACCCATTGACAACAGTGTATGTTGCAAGGTGTCTCTCATATAACTAAGCACAAGCTTGCCTCGAATCGCGAGGTATAGCAACAGTGTCTTTATGGAAAATTCAAATTGTTATGTTCACGTAAATGTATAGAGCTCGGTGTACCAGATTTTATTCAAATGCATCTGGCAAAAGGCTTATTGTTCTAACTGTCTATCGTAAGGGCACCTTCAATTACGTAATGGCTAAGTGACTAGCCGAGTTTACGCAAGCGATATGATTGGTTCATCGGTTCAATTGCTTTTAAACGACGGATGGTCAATTTGGGGAGCGTGATGTATATAGAGATCATCAAGGATGATGAAATGGCCAGTGTGTAATAAAGCTTTATTATTTTTTTTTCACAAATTACCCATTCTGGTGATGAAAGCACAATGGAGAGGACATCAAAGGAGACTCCCTTCTCTGCATTCCGTGTCAATGTGTCTCTCATAGTTTACAAGGTCTTCTATTTCAGCTTTTGGGGAGCTACTGGAAGCTACCTGCCGTATCTAAGTCTTTATTTTAAGCAGCTTGGCTTTTCCCCCGCCAATGTTGGCATTGTCAGTGCTTTCAGACCCCTGTCGGGGTTCGTTCTGCTGCCGGTCATCGCAGCGGCCGCAGACCGGTTCAGATGCCGGAGAGCAATTTTGGTAACGAGCATCCTGCTCGGTGTAGTGACTGCCGGCGCGCTGGCACTCTTACCCCATGCAGCCGAGGCCCCCTGTGGTGTAATGGAGAAGCAGATAGAGGAGTTTTTCCATCTAAATATCTCTCTTTCCGGACCAGACGGCCAAGGAGGCCACTCCGAATCATTTCACGCTTCTCGCGTGGACAACCTGTTGCCAAGCTTCCCGGGGGCTCGAGGATTGCCTGGTTCGAACCCGTATCTGCACATACCGTTTGAAGGTGCCTTGACGAACACCAGCTTCCTCGACGTCCGAAATTTGCCCGAGAAGATCCGGAAGACCCTCATCGCCAACCAGAGTTGGATGTACTACCAGGGAGACCTCCACAAACTCCTCGTCGCTGTGATAGTCCTGGCAACCGTGATGGAGGTCATGATGTTCAGCGCCATTTGTCAGGGGGACATTGCTACTTTGGACGCTCTACGACGGGAACACGGCAATGCTGATCAGTACGGATGGAACCGTGGATTCGGAACTGTGGGATGGGGAGCTTGGTAAGAAATAATTGTTCACTATAAAGCTGTAATTCGTCTCTGAAAAATGGGAATTCCCCATAAGTACTACTCTCTAAATGCCAAAGAGTGAAAATTCACTCTATTCGAGTGGAAATTCAATCCCTCCGATTGCAATTAAGGACCAGACGAATTGGAGTGAAATTTCTTCACTCCAAAAGATTGCAATTTCACTCGAGCTTTCTCTGGAAGGGACTGGTTTCAGCCTTTTTCAGTCTAAATTCAGAGTGATTTTCACTCTAAAACGTCTTGTCCCTTATTTCAATCTTTCTGATTTAGAGAGTATATCATGAGACGTATTTTTATTTGAAAAACAAAATTAAAATGAGTGTCTAAAAATATCTGAGGAAAAATTCTGGACTAAATCCCAAATGTTAATCAGAAATAAAATGAATTTTGTTCCCCTGCTGCAGAAGTTCAATCTTTGGCATTTTAGAAACTAAATTTCAGACCGGTCAGAGGCAAACCAGATGGAGTACATCACCGAATGCTCGGAATGGGTTGTGGACGGAAAAAGACTGTATATAACAAACAGTCACAGCAAATGAAGACAGAAATTACGGCAAAAGGATTGAACCGCCTCGTAAACCCTTCTAAAAATGCCATCTGTCCATTAAGATTATGATCATTGTGGGAATAGTTCTAATTATGGACTCTAACGACCTTCTTCAACAAATGTAAGGGTAGTACTGAATTCGAGAGCGGAAACGTTCATTCCAAACTGCTGGTAGGGCATATTAGCACATGAAATAAAAGGGTTTGGCCATCTCCCTTGCACATAATAGTCTAGGATGTTACTTAACCCTACAATTCAGGCCTCTCGAATAGAATAAACCCAAGTTACATATTCTGTACTTTGTTGTGTGCCTCGGGGATCCTAAGTTTAAAAATGTGTCTAATTGGATGGGCAGGAGAGATGAGACCAACAAAGTGCCAGTTTGTTCCACACGGATTAGGATGTCCACAGGCGTTTTCTGGAGCGGGCACTCATTGGGTTTGGTCAAAACTTTCTAATCACATAAAGTATATCTAGTCTTTTTAATTCTTAGTTGGAGCCATGATAAATGCCGTGAACGGAGAAAAATGTTCGGGGAATTCCATTTTGTCGTGTCAATAAATTTTCAGTATAACTTTGCTCTCTCGAGAACGGAATGGAACCATCGGAAAAAGTGCTGACCCATTCTTGCATTTTGCTGGACATGTTCGGTATTTCGATGATTAACATATAATCCATTAAATGCACTTGTTATTGTGAAATTTTCCACGTAGTTCCTTTGGCGTTGGTTTGATCTTGAGTTCAACCCGTACCGCGGTAGTCACCTGTGGCTTTGAGCATGTCGCTACCGGTTACTGGACCGCTTTCGCGGCAGCTGGGATCGTCGGCAGCGTCGCTTTCTTTTCCACCTTCTACTTTGGACCATACACAGTAAGCGATTAAGACAGATGTCGTTTTCTCTTTTCCGAAAAGCAGCTACATGTCTTAAGAATTCGCAAGACTTAACAACAAAATTTCAAAATTCAAATGAGTTGAAATAAGTAACATAACATTAATGAACACCGTTTTTTAATTTTAGTCTAGGATTGATGTGAAACCAGTCACGCTTAATACTATCCTCTATGCGAATACTGCAATTCGTAAACACTGCCCTACAACTCATAGGTGTATTCACAACTTCAGTGCCAGTTGAAATTAACTAACGCCAAAGAGACTGATAGTGGCTGTCGACTTATCAATTTTCCATAGAAGTTTGCGAGCTGCGGTATGGTCTGTTTCTTTATCTTTTATTCCTCGCCGTCCTTATCGTTCCCATTTTTGCCCAGTATGGAGAAAAGAAAGATGACTCCGATGACACTGTGTCCTCGTCTCTGGGCAAGAGCCCGATTATGGCAGTGGTGTTCAGCTGGCATTACGGCTCTGTCTTCGTCATGATTGCCTTCCTGGGTCTGTGCAACGGATCCATGTGGGCATTCCTCTATTGGCATCTGGACAATATGGGTAACCAGTCTCTTGCTAACTTCTGAAACCTGGCTGGCTTCTCTGGCTAGTTTCCTTACTGCGTCGTTTGACGTTTAAAGTTTAATTTATATAATGGCAGATTCCTGAGAATACCATTCCCAGAAGCATTGTTTCAACAGGCTTCATTAATTTACCATGGGACCAATGTATTGCCTTTCGAATAAGCAAAAGCTTGGAGTATTCTATTATAATGTTGATACATGTAGAAACGATTCTAAAGGGAAAACAAACAGCAAAATCAAACATCAGCGAGCGAAAAAACAAACGAATTGATCTTAGCCTGAGTTTCTTTTATACTTGCAATCGGACTGTACAACTGAAAACAATAGACAAATCCTGTCCAACCCCTCAATTTGTGAACTTTTTTTAACATGGACTTTTGCATTTTTTTGTTTTCGCTAATTAGGCGCCACGCAAAGCTTTCTTGGATCGCTAACAGCCATCCAGAGCTTGTCCGATTTTGTCTTCGGTTTCCTGAGTGCGTGGACCATCTCTGTATTCGGTCACATTCGGCTGTTGGGCGCGGGACTGTTTTTCTTCATAATTCGGTTCTTGTATTATTCGTGGATTCCTGCACCATGGCTTGTTATCTTTTCGGAGACACTTCATGGTAAGTCTTGGGAATTTTCTGTTGACATGTATCACTCTAGTCAATAGTTTCCATACTCAGATTGGCGCTCAGGTGGGTTAGCATGGAAGGAGGAGAACACTGGTCAACAATTATAATTATTACTAAATATTTCTGTGTAGTGACACCTAGGCAGTGTAGCTCGTAAGCCTGAAGAAAGCTTTAGAGACGAGACAATGAGAAGTGGTCCCGGTTTAAGAGTTGGGAGGAAAACCCACGAGAAATATTCTGTTAAAACCAACGGAATCAGGTAGGGGCCTAAAACCCAGCCGCGAATCGAACCAGGACCGTTAAGATGGAAGGCGAGGAAGGAAGCATTATGCCATCCTGACTCCTGTTGTGAGACAAGGGAATAGGCATCGGTTCGGACAAGTTGTAAGTTGGAACCCCTGGATCCAACTAGGTCAATCTAATCGAACAAGGTCTCGATACACAGTAAATGACATGTTTAGAGGGGGCGGGCTGATCACTGCCAAATTTCTGTCTATGTATTTTCAGGGTTGGGCTCCATTCTGACGTGGATCACGGCGGTGGCATACCTGAACGATGCTGTTCCACCGCAGTGTCGGTCCACTGTGCAAGGCATTCTGGTCGCCGCGTATAACGGCTTGGGAGCAGGGCTTGGATTCTTCACCTCCGGTCTGCTCGTCAACAGATTCGGAGCATCACAAACGTTTGGCCTCTTCGCAGTTTCCTGTACCGCGTTTTTTGTTGTGTTCCTAAGCATTCAAGGGGTGAGAGACACGTTGGGAATTTTTTTTTCGGGCTCATTCAACATGATGCTGGGGCAGAAAAAGTATCAGAAGCCTCAATCACAGTCCTGAAATCATTGCTTTTATTTGATGGTGTTGTTTTCTTAGGATTTTGGTGTTAGTATTTGATAAATAAATAAACCGCATACTATGCCACGTATACAGATTCCCTTTTTTCTTACTTGTGAACTATTCTACGAAAAACAAAATCCGTCAGGGGTTGGCAAGTTGTCATCCTGCAGGCTGAATACGCCACTGATTATCACGATAATCTCGAGCAGACAGTTCTGGAGTTGGGTGTAGCATGGTGTTAAGGATCCCTGATGGATTGCAGTTGTGGGAAGTGGAACAATCTGTCTTACATTCAAGGGGTGACGGAGAATTTTACGTAGCGGTCTCTTGGATTGATGCACAAGCCATGTATCACAGTGTTGCACGAAACGGATGTGTTGCACGAAGGGGATGTATTTTGGTGAAAGGGGGGGAGGTGCGCCCCCACGCCTCCCAGAGGTACTGGTACGTGCTAGTTACTGTTGCATTCCGTTTCTTTCACAGCTCTCGAAGGTACCCCCTTCCCCTTGGAAAGATGAACATGAGGAGAAACAATCACCGCAGAAAGAAGTCAAGGACCCAGACGAGGAAGATGCACTTCTCGACTCACGAAATAAGTAATAGGGTTGGACATGGAAGCTATGAGTGAGCTTGTATGCTTGCTTAGTCGTCGTTTAGCGCATTAATTAACCAAACTTAATGGTGGGATATTTCATTTGTTGCATCCAATATTCTGCTGAGAATTTCAGAAAGTGTCCTCCTGACAAAGTTAACCATACTCCTTTACCACATAATACAGGGTGTGCACATAAAAAGTATACCGATATAAAATGAATGTAATGACAAAATTACGTTACATATGGGAAGGAGAAATATATCTGTAGAGAGGGCAGTCCTCTTTGCAATGGCATACGGCTTGTGATGTTGTTGACATAGATGAGTGAAGAAACTGCACCGATGTTAAGGATACTGAAATCGGCACTGTGACAAGTTTGCATTTTCACCATGCAAGTGGGCAGAATACCAAATGCCTTTGCTTTAAGAGCACATTCTTGGAAACAAGGAATGTACCTAGATCAATCTAATCTGCTTTTTTTCGCTACTTACCTCGTAAGTTTAATTAATGTGCTGTGCCCTCCACATGGGCACTATTTCTATGCACATCTGCCATTTTAATGTAATTTTTATGTCAGTATGATTTATATGCTTCTCATGTGGACACCCTGTATAATTTTATTTTTAAAACCTCGAAATGTACGTTGTAGGGCAATCTTCCTTCTCAAGAAATTCTCTTTTTTTTCGAACATGCATGTTTAAAATTTTGTTGAAGGAACCCAACGGGAAAACAAAATTCCAAGTAATCATGAAAACGCTGACATTTCTTTAAAATGCCAATTAAGAAGACCAACGTGGTGTCTTTTGCACGTGGCAGTAAGTAAGTCTCTGACAATATTTCTGTAAAAAGGTGTCTACTCTGCTTTCTGCAGTACTTACAATATGCCCACAGTGATTAACCCTAAAAGACCAGGGTTTTTCTGCACCATGTTTAGTGGTTGGGGCAGATCCCCCAAGAACTCAGTTGTCCCATGCTCAATCTCTCTGAAACTTGGCATGCACATTAAGAACTCAAAAATAATGCGAAGTTTCAGCTCAACCTAACATATGATTTTGTTGTTAAGATTATTAAAAGTTAAAGCCTTCAAGGCCACATGTATGCCAACCCTCTTGAATTGATCCTGGATAATTCAAAGAGCGTACCATTGCGTAGAGGTTACCGGTATTATGTTTACAGCCCTGAAATACTAACTCCACCTTGATGGGCATCATGGCAGCTTGGGCAAAACTTATTGCTGTGATCTGAACTCAAGCGTACATACCGATTCAGAGTCAAGAATCGGCATGACTGGTATGGACGACCACATTTCATATTGGACGACTCTCTCTCGCTCCTAATGACATATATTTTGATTTAATTTCCTTTTCTTACTTACTTTCTGGGCTTCCCGTTTGTTTTTTTGAACCTATTAATTTAACATGCCCCATGAAGCACTGTACAGAGGGACGTCAAAGATGCACTTTTGTATTTGGTGCCCTTTTTGTGGTTGTTTTAAGTGATGTGATCGTGGTAATGGGTAAAAGTACGCATGAAGTACAAACAATAACTAAATTATACCATTAATTAAAGCTTAGATGGTTCCTCAAATAACTCTATTACTTGGATGTCATGCATACACCGGAGAAGAGAACAAAGATGTCAAAGTGCGATTTATACATTATGTTATATAGAATACATGTATGTTTCTTGTTTTTAATTTTCTTTCCTTGGTTGTTCTTTTGTATTACCATTAAGCCTTTGCGTCTAACCCGTTCTGGTTGAAGTATTGGACAGTAGTGAACAGTAAAAGGAATTCAACTTCGGTTTTCGTGGCTCTGTTGTGGTTCTTTTAATTGACACCATGTTTTTGATTACATGTTGACTGAATTTGGGGGATAATGTTCCCTTGAATTCGACTAGTAAAGCGTTGGTTAAAATCACGCACGATTATGTTGGTCATTAACAATCTGGCTGTTTTTTTAGTGTTTTACTTTATTTATATCTGGTCATCCAACAGCGAATTTAGCATCCATTACAGGATGAAGTGATAATTAAGAAGACAATGAAGAAATGTTCAGGTTTAAAGAAGGAAAACCCAGAATGAATATTCAAGGAAAAACCCACAGAGTCAGGCAGGGACTGAAAACCCAATCCATTAATCCCCTAGGTGGGATTCGAACCCGGGTCGCAGAGATGGAAGGCGAGGAAACAGCAACTATACACCAACCTGACTCCCCACCGACTGTTTGTCTTCCTTCATAAAACACCCCCCCCCAAAAAAAAACCAATTAAACAAAAACTTCCCAAACGAACTGCACCCCTCACTGACATGTTCACACGCAACACGTATTTGAGAAAACCATGTAAAAAGGGATGCGCAACCCTAAAAACGCTCCGTACTACTTGGTTTCTGACGAGGGCGGAGACATTATGAGAATTTTGATGCCCATGGCAGCCTGAGGAAAGAGATTTTCCAGTATCATATCAAATGGGAATCAGGTTTACCAGATGTTGCTGCATGGCTTTACGGAGTATAAACGCAAGGCTTTTGTGTAATCCCTTCAAGACCAAGGTAAACTTGGTTGCCCCGTAGAGACCTACAAAGGGGCGTTAGTGTATGACAAAGACTACAAAAGTAACAAAGTGGCTCTTATTCAAAGCCATATATGTTTTTCATACATCGGTTTGAACACCATACCACGAAACAACGGGCGATTCACTTCAGTGTGCCACTTGCAATTGCATGGTAAGCCCGGGAGAGGCCATTTTTGGCTTTAAAGTTTATGCTCGACAAAAAACATGGCCAACTTGCAGCGATTTTGCATTTGAGCGTATTTCAGTAGACAATTTCGGGATTTTTATTTGATAAATTACTGCATTCAATGCCCAAGAAATAATTCAAGTTTACTCTTGGTGGCACATGTACTGGGAAGAATCCATATGAACCTGAAAGTAAAAGGTCAAGCAGCGCACTTCCGGAACCCTCGCTAGGTGCGCCTGTGGATATTTACTTGCGGGGGGCCGTCCTGTCACGTTCGATAATTTTTGGAAGAATGCTTCCTAACTGAAACCACCCCATGAAACACTAATAGAATTTTACCTTTGTCTTCTTCAAATCGTATTTAGGGAAAGTGACCTGAAGATGGGTAGGAAACAAATTCCATGAACGACATTTTACTTCCGGCAATATCTTTTCCACAGGTTTTTCTTGTTCATGCAGGTTTGTTTTCACTCCGCGTGCTTTCGAGAAAACAAGATAGTACAGTGCTGTAAAAATTTACCTACCTGCAGTCGATGGGTTCCAGATTCGGTCGAGTTGACATGACACAGTTCTTGTCGGCAAATTTTACATAAAACATTAAAGTCTTTGGCAAAAGTAGATTATCGCTTTAAGTTTACTACCTTATAAATTAAAATGTCTGTATAATATTTTGATCTGTTTTTATATTGGCTTTTACCGACAGACTATACTACAAAATTTCATTCCGTAAATGTTCGTCTACGTACAAGACTGCCACCTTTTGCAAGTGACCTTTGAATAGAATCTGGTATTCTGAGTTCTTTAAATTCACGGGAACGTAACGATTTGAATTCTCCATACTTAAAACACTGTAGCTATACCTCGTGATTAGGAGCAAACTTTTGCTTTGTAACGTAAGAGACGCCAACAATACACTGTTCTCAATGGAAAAGAAGGGCACAAAGGAACCAGTCCATTCCAGAGATGTTGGTCGCTATGCAAAAGCTTGCCTCGAATCCTGAGGTATAGCAACAGCGTCTTTAGTCTGGGGAATTAAAATTGTCACGTTTGTGTGCAAACAAATAACTCAGTGTACCAGATTTTATTCAAATTTAACTCGCAAATGGCTTACACTGTTCTTCGTGCATTTCAGATTTTGGGAAGTGACGGGTCAATATTGGGCAGGAAATTTCTCTTTTAGGTCAGGTATAATTTTTCAGTTTTATTAATATGCTAGCAAATGTTTTCCCAAATGCCTTTTTCCGAGTTTGGTTTCTTAATAACTGGACAAAAAAATTACAAATTCAAATAATTTTGCACATTTTCTTTCCTATCCAAGGGTTCCTAAAAAGCGTCATCAGGGGTAAACTTTCGGGCTCTATTGTTTACCTCAGAATTGTCTGTTCTCTTTAAAATTTGCTGGGTCTGTTGGTGGGTGGGCTGATCGGTAGGTTTGGGGGTACTTTCAGTCGGTCAGTGCGTCAGTCCGTCGGTCAGTCGCAAGTCACTTAATTAATCTTACTGTTGCATACATTTGTACAGGACGGGCTTTGTTGGGTTCAGTGGTTAATTTTGTTTGAGTTTTGATGTAGGCCTATATGTCCCCTTATTTTACAAAAACATCCTAAGCGAAATATACACAGTTGAACAACTGAGAAAAATTTATTTTATAATTATTAACCTGTCCATCTAGCGATTTTCAAGAAATCTGGAACATGAAACATTTGAAGGTATCTTTATTGCACAGTGGCACACTTTCAAGGCTGTGATGAAATGAACAATTATTATCGCGACATGTCTATTGACTTAAATTAAGGGTTAAATTTATTTTAATGTATAAAAGGTTCACAAAACATGTCCTCCCTGGATACTGCAAAAGAAGAAGCATTACAAAGACTTTCATCGTAAAGAGATGACTTTTACGATGTCTTTCAAGATTTTTGTCAAAATTGTCACAATTCATTCGCATTATTATGAAAACGATTACTTAAAAAGAGGCCAGAGGCCGTTTATCGTTGTGAAGACAAAAGTCCTACTTTTTCTGAGGTAGATTAATTTCAAGGCCCGTGGAGTTTCATCTTTTTGGCCACATGCACCCTTGTTAAGCACTCGTGTCCAGCATCTACCTGTATAACCGATTCTCCAGTACATGGCCCATAAATAGTACTTCGGTGCAAAGAGAAACAGCGAGAGCATGTAAGGTGGAAATTGTCGCCACTCGGCCCTGGACGTCTCAGCGCTAGCTCAATAAGTTCTGTGGCCCCACTGATCTAACTGCAACTACGATTGCTTTGTCACGGTGAGTGTGCTATGTGTTTGGATCCGTGGTCAGTGGTGTCATAACAACTGGAAAGAATAAAGACATTATGAGGGTACCATAAATCTTCAGACTCTGGAGCCAAGAGGTGCAATCCAAGGAATAAAACTGCTTCATTATGTCTCCACATTTACCCACATAGGCCTGTTATTGGTTAATACTGAGTTCCACGTGCATAGACAGATACATGCTATCGTACGACCTCGTGCCCATTGTGTCAAACAGTGCGCTCCAGGGCTACCTCTTCTCTTTGCATGTTTCTCGAAATTTATACTTTTATAATCGCCGATTTTCTAATGATAATGGACATTAAAACAGAGTTAGGATTTGGAACCCCAAAATTGCTCCTTTTAAACATTTCTGAGAACGGGCGGCTCTCTGGCTTGTAGCCTTGTACATTTTCAAAGTAATGCTAATTTACGAAAGCAAAATAATGGAAAAATCCAGCACTTAGTTTTTTTAATCAATTCGTCATTGACCAAACTAGGTTTAGTGCTGGTATGATATTACATTTTTGCTCATGAGCATGGAAATTTGCATGATCATAAAGCCCCAAAGAGACTCCATAATAAAGATAAAAATGGTAAATGAACATTAAAAAAATTGTTAATTGGAGCACAAATATACCGAAGACTGTAGAAATCTATTCGTATTACATGTACACGGCCCTTCTAGCAAGTGTTTTGTGGGTTGGTTGTCTGACATAAAAATAGTCAATTCTTTTTGTGGCCGGCCGGCGTGAAGTATTGGGAAAAACACGAGTACTGGAAGCCTAGCTTGAAATTAAGTAACCCGAGGGAAAGGGGTTGATTTTCGTCATAATTGTCGACCGTCAAAGCGCCACCAATTATTTTATTGCTGAGTAGTCGCCCGAGTTCATGCAAACAATATGATTGGCCCATAAATTCAGGAGTGACCCAAGAGATCTGGTCACCAAAGATGGTGAGTGTGCAGTCAGGCTTAACGTTTCACACGCCAGTTTCATTACACAATGGAGGAGACATCGAAGGAGACTCCTTTCTTTGCATTCCGCATCAATGTGTCTCTCATAGTCTACAAGGTCTTCTATTTCAGCTTTTGGGGAGCTATTGGTTGCTATCTGTCGTATCTCAGTCTTTATCTAAAACAACTTGGCTTTTCCCCCGCCAATGTTGGCATTGTCAGTGCTTTAAGACCCCTGTCAGGGTTCGTTTTGCTACCGGTCATCGCAGCAGCTTCGGACCGGTTCAGATGCCGGAGAGCAATTTTGATAACGAGCATCCTGCTCAGTGCAGTGACTGCCGGGGCGCTGGCACTCTTACCCCATGCACCTGAGGCCCCCTGTGACGTGATGGAGAAGCAGATAAAGAAGTTTTTCCATCTAAATATCTCTCTTTCCCAACCAGACGGCCAGGGAGGCTACTCCGATTTCTCTCAATCTTCACGTGTGGACAACCTGTTGCCAGGTTTTCTTGGCCCTCCGGGGTTGCTAGGTTCTAACCCAATCCTGCACATACCGTTTGGCGACGCCTCAACGAACACCACCTTCCACGATGTCAAGAAATTGCCCGAGAAGATTCAGAAGACTCTCATCGCCAACCAAAGTTGGATGTACTACCAGGCAGATCTCCACAAACTCCTCGTCGCTGTGATAGTCCTGGCAACCGTGATGGAGGTCATGATGTTCAGCGCCATTTGTCAGGGGGACATCGCTACTTTGGACGCTCTACGACGCGAACACGGCAATGCTGATCAGTACGGATGGAACCGCGCCTTCGGGACTGTGGGATGGGGAACTTGGTAAGGAATGTTTTTTTCAGAAATGTCAAATTGTTGATTTCTGAAAAAAGATTAAACAAATCCCCAAGTATGGCCATGAAGGGTTTTCGCAAATAGTAAAAATTGTAAAAAAAAATCTAAAGAAAAACACTAGACACGATAATATAATAAATAATGATTTTTGTGGTGTTTGTTTTGGTTTACTCTCGAAAATTGACCATTTGCTGCACAATTTGATGCCTGACACCATCGGCACAAACAAAATTGCACATGTTGGCCAGCAGGACGGGTGCGTGGTCGAACACTTACTAGACACTGACGAAAAAAAGTAAGGGTAGGACGGCATACGGCGCAAGAATTCATTAAGACATGCTGGTATACGGCTATTTAATACAAGGGCCTATTTGTAATTGAAAGAGTTTGGCCAGTCAGTAACACAGAGTGGTTTTAAGGGTTTAATGACTCTCCCTAATTGTCCATCATTAAGCTGGTGCCTTGAAATTTCAATAATACTGAAGATAAGTAGCCTTTTATGTAAAAATAGAGTATGACGTAATCTTAAGATGCCCTCATTATTTTGAGTAATGGCACATGGTGGAATATACAGTAAAATTTATTGATCTAGGAAGAAAGAGTGTTTCAGCTCTCTTAGAAAAAACTAAACGAAAAACGAAAACAATGAGCTATTATCCATTCCTAAATTCTGCAGAACTTTTCAGTTTTTCGATGGTAACATGTAGAATCCACGACTACACCTATTATTGTGAAATTGCCAGTGTAGTTCCTTTGGCGTTGGTTTGATCTTGAGTTCAACCCGTACCGCAGTAGTCACCTGTGGCTTTGAGCATGTCGCCACCGGCTACTGGACCGCTTTTGCGGCAGCTGTGGTCGTCAGCAGCGGCGCTTTTGTCTCCACCTTCTACTTCGGACCATACACGGTAAGCTACCGGTATAAGCAAAACCGACAGGTGCGGCTTCCCCAACTCTTTAAAGCAGCCTTATTTCTTTATTTCTTAAGACTTCGTCGGAAGTAGAAAATGCGGCCAACTGACCCGAAACCAGTGACAAAAGATTTACAAAAACGATTTCAAGCATAAGTCATCGGTTGCTGCGCTTTCACATCATCAATGCGCAGAGATCATTCTCAACCACACTTCTCTGTGCTGTCAACACTGTCCTTAATGGAATTATTGAAATACTCGACTGAGAATACCAATCTTGACTCATCTTGACTGTTGAAGCAACCAAAATGTTACACCGTTAACTATTTAGGCTATCGATGACTTCTGTTTTTCAAAAAAATTGCATGCTGCTGTAGTCATTTTTTCCCTCGCCGCCGTGTCTTTAAGTTGGATCACGTTCGTAATCGTTACCATTTCTACTCAGAACATGCATTATGAAGAAACGAAAGATGACTCTGGTGACTCTGTGGCTTCGTCTCCGGGGATGAGTCCAATCAAGGCGGTGGTGTTCAGCTGGCATTACGGTTCCGTCTTCATCATGATTGCCTTCCTGGGTCTGTGCAACGGATCCATGTGGGCATTCCTCTATTGGCATCTGGACAATATGGGTAACCAGCCTCTCACTAAATTCCTGTCTGGGTTACCTTAATTTTTTGGCCCAAGCAATTGCGTCAGTCCCAATTATAGTTTTGACAATCCCAAGTGTTGCAATTGGGCAGGCACATTTCTAGCGAAAATTTTCCTGGTTTAAGCAGCCGATGACCAACAGAATTCATCCAAAATTTGCCACAAATACATTTAAAAGCTAGTTTCCTTAGTACGAAGTATGCATTTAAACGAAGTGACTTTGGCGCATTTACTATGACGTACGCTAGCAGTCTATGCAATATTTGGGGTGCGCGACTCAACTGCAGCACTAAAACCCCGAGCTGGAGGGAAGGGGGCGCAATTTTCCTAGTATCGCAGGCTCCTTAGTTGGTCCTTCCGACCAACATGGCCCTTAATTCACAACGGATGAAGGGGTGTTTCTGCTCAAGGTGGAGGGACTGCCTGATCTGCTGTTGGTAGAGGCGCTGTAGTTGGGCGTAACACTTTTTCAAATTCAAATTAAAAAAAAATTTCCCTACTTTCATTAACATACGAATCAAAGAATACACGTAAAATTAATACGAACCATAAATACAATGTAATATAATGAGAGAAAATAGAGAAAACTTTAAAAGATTGAAAGTATGGAGCTGCTCGTATAATTTACTTCATTATTTGAAGTAACAGTTCCATAAGAGGTCCCTAAGTACACTCGGAGTTAATGCATTGCTGATGTACAAGCTTGCATTGTGATTCTGTTCAGCAAATGTTTCACTTTATTTCCTGCCCATGCGTTATCATCTGAAATTTTTAATGTGTATTACTCACGCTCCATAGACTTTTGAATGACAAAAAACGGACACGATCGATCGCGACTTTGCAGGGGACTCCATTTAAAGTTTTATACATGCCAAATACTGTCCGGATGTGCATGCTCAGCGGACTCTATTTGGCTCTGGACAGTTTTCGACATAAAAACTGATACTCGCCTTTACAAATTTTCTTTCACTGATTTAATAAGGTGCCACGCAAAGCTTTCTTGGATCGTTAACAGCTATTCAGTGCTTATCCGATTTTGTCATCGGTTTCCTGAGTACGTGGGCCATCTCTGTATTCGGTCACATTCGGCTGTTGGGCGCGGGACTGTTTTTCTTCATAATTCGGTTCTTGTATTATTCGTGGATTCCATCACCTTGGCTTGTTATCTTCTCTGAGGCACTTCATGGTAAGTCTTGGTCTTCATGGTAAGTCTAGTCCATTTGCAGGATGAATTATATACGAGTATTGGCCTAACAAGGGGGGGTCAAAATGGAGAAAGAATGTGGAAATGACAATGGCTGATCAACCTTTGTTTCCGAATTGATGAATTGGCAGGTCCTAGAACTATGTTTCGAATGAGCTGGGTGTAAGTCGTATTCCCCTGGATCCAACTGGGTCAATCTGTTCGAACGATCTGTCTATATGCAGTAATCGGTACGCTCAACTGAGGGGGGGGAGTCTTACAGCAATCAGAACTCACTGCCAACATTACATTTCTGTCAATGTATTTTCAGGGTTGTGAGACAAGGGAATAGGCATCAGTTCGAACAAGTTGTAAGTTGGAACCCTGGATCCAACTAGGTCAATCTGTTCGAACAAGGTCTCGATACACAGTAAATGACATGTTTAGAGGGGGGCGGGCTGATCACTGCCAAATTTCTGTCAATGTTCAGGGTTGGGCTCCATTCTGACGTGGATCACGACGGTAGCATACCTGAACGATGCTGTTCCACCGCAGTGTCGGTCCACTGTGCAAGGCATTCTGGTCGCCGCGTATAACGGCTTGGGAGCAGGGCTTGGATTCTTCACCTCCGGTCTGCTCGTCAACAGATTCGGAGCATCACAAACGTTTGGCCTCTTCGCAGTTTCCTGTACCGCGTTTTTTGTTGTGTTCCTGAGCATTCAAGGGGTGAGAGAGAATTTGGCCTCTTTAAAATTACGATCATATACTAAGTTGTATCTGAAATTTGTTGACTCAAGTTATGATTTTTTAGGGATTTCCCCTTTCACCGACCTAAAAGTATACTATGTTTTCCGAGAGCTTTAGTGAAGACATCATAAAGCAGCCCTCCAGCGAGGTTGCGGGGTGGTCAGTGGTACCGCAGTCAAACTATTCCCAAAGCCTGATTACCAAAAATTTGGCTGTTGTTGTTGCTGAATTCTCTATGTCAAGGCAAATCGAATGCAAACTGTTCAACGACACATCCAGACAGAAAGTATCGTGGTGAGTTTTACACCGAAACTACTGCGATACTCCAATTATCTTGAACTGACCGGGTTTATCGTCTGGCAGTGTACGTGCAATTTACTGTCGCATTCCGTTTCTTTAACAGCTCTCAAAGATACCACCTACCCCTTGGAAAGACGAACACGAGGAGAAACAAGCGCTGCAGAAAGAAGTCAAGGATCCAGATGAAGAAGATGCACTCTTAAACCGTCAATGAATTTGTGTGCTTGCACCACAGTCGTTCAACACGTTATCGAAACTTTAAGTAGTCATGTGCCTTCTTTTTTTTTTTTGCATCCAGTTTTTCAGTGCTGATGATCATCCATTGAGCTATGGATGCTGATCTGACTCAGTGTATATGCCTGCTGGGAGCATCCATAGTACAGAAACCTAAGCCCATAGAGGGTGCAGACCACTAATTCAAGTGAGAATTTCTGGCCAGCTCATTAGCATCAAAAGTGCCCCCCGCATGGTCTTTTGAACAGGATCAACTCCCTGGGTCTTTTAGCTTTCATATGAGAGCAGACTGACTAAAAACTATGGTTGAAATATTGTCCTAAGTGCCCAAGGCTTTTTTTTTGGGGGGGGGTATTTTGTTTTGTGGGAATAATTAAAAATGTAAATGGTTAACCCACAAAAAATTGCAAAGACATTGAAAGATTAGTGACCACACAAGAATTTCATTTGTGTTTCAGAAGTCTCTGGGATGTTGGTATGCACGTTATTGGAACCTGAACAGTGCTGATTTTACAGTTTTCAAAGGGGCTTGAATTAGTGGACCGTACACCCTAGAAAACAGTGCAAAATCGGACCGAAATAGCGCCGCCTGTTGACTCTCGTGAAGAGATTGGCCTCTGGTTTTTTTCAATGGAAATTCAAGATTATGGCCGAAATATCACTTTTTGTTTCAATTTTATGGTGGTTAGCCACGAAAACATTTTTTGTTCCCTTTCCCCGAAGATACCCCGTCAATAGCAGTAAAACTATGCGCTCAACTCTGAATGTAGCCGCCCGCCTCTATCCAAAATAAGGCCGGTAATTTCGGGCATTTTCTGACAGAAATACCCCGAACTGGAAACTATCAGTCCCATATTCGGGATTTATAAAAATGTTTCTATGATCCCTCGTGATTATAGCATGTCTTATTGTAAAATCCCCTTGGGATCACAACATATTAATGAACTTGCAAACAGAAATACAACCATTTGGTGGCGGAAAGCACCCCAATGGAAAACTCGAAATTTGGTACGGTTTTTGTCGGGCTATTTGCATATCTGTGTTTGTATTCTAAAATAATACGTCAACAAAGCCGATACGTAAATAACCCGAACAAACAGTCAGTAAATGAGCGTTCCATTCTGCTTTATGCCCCCCCCCAAAAAAAAGTGCGCGTACGTGCTGCACATGAATTTCGCCGGTGATTTTTAATCGGATTTTTTGGTACCCATCAGTGCGCACGACAGCTGCTGCTCTTGAACAGTCACCTCACTTATCACTGACTGAAAGGGAGCGACTTCAGTTTAATTTTAGCTGTGCTCATTCATCGAGAAACAGTAATTGAAAGACATGCAAATGAATCGGACGACCTTGATTGAATGTTAGGGAAACCTGTAAAACATTCGTTTTAAAATAAAAATCAGATATGGATGTAAAAATATATGTGTCAATGCTCTGTGTAGTCCTGTGTATATTATTCCAAAGACGCGCTGATGTTTCCGTATGTTGTATTTGTGCGTTGCATTTAGAAAATATTATTTATTCTATGTTCTACAGGCACGCACGGGCATGGATTCAAAATGTCTGTGCCCATCAGGACGACGTCGAATCTTCTCTACGAGGAGAATGGGAGGTTGGCGCTCTTATTTTGATATATAGCTCTATGTGGTCATCACAAATTTCAGAAAGTTTCTTCTGGACAAACCATTACCCTTCCAATTGCCCCATATAAACCACAGAATTGACGTTGTATGGCATAGCTTCCTTCCCGGGGTTTTGATGTTTTTCTTTGTGCATACATTTCCCGAATTTTGCTACCCAACGCTGATGTAACCTACATGTCATGCTGCTCAAAATAATGAGCACATACAGGAGAATCAATGTGGCGTCCTTTTGCACGTGGTGGCTGCAGACATTTTGGACAATTTTGTGGTAGAAAAGGGCGTATTATAGAGATCAGTGGGTTCTGCGTGGCTTACAGATCAACCTTGTCCCCATGGGTAAGATCTTGCCTAGACTGGTACTTGTCCCATAGTCTCCAGACGTCTTATAGACGTCCTCCGAACGAAGCAACCGGTAGTGGGTAATGGTTCTAGAGGAATCCTGCCGGTTTTATGTTAACGAGGAAATTAGAATATAACAATTTCCATAATGTAACACTGTCACGTGACAAAACACTGGGAGACTTTCTAGATTCGATTGAAGATGGTGTATACCATTGTTTTTTGTCGTAATTTCACAAGATATAATATTGTATAATATTCACTGCAACTTACGTTCCATTTATTTGTTTCATGTTTGAGTCAACTACTTTGTGAAAAATCAAGAAAAACAGCGCGGAATTTTCAACGCTTTAATCGAAGGTCTTGTAGTTTATCTTGCGTAAAATGTATGGATTATAGGGAGTTCCTAGTACAACTGATCAACGTCCGCAGGGTCAGGGTGTGAAATAGGCATGACAGCTTCTCATCCCCTTAAAAAGGAGCATTTTGTAACATCTAGGAGTAATCAGTGAATTTATCTTGGAGTAATGCGCCCCCTCGACAATGTAACATTGCGTAATCGTGTGAAAACAACCTCCAGGAACACAGCAGTCGACTCGTGTCCGTGCCCACGTGCCTGCGCGATCGTGCTTATAACGGTACTTTCATGTCGGTTCACACGTTGATGAAATTCTTAAACTCTATTTATATTTGAGTCGTTAATAATTATAAGTAACAAAAGAATTATGTCTTAAAACATCATTCTCGGAAACAGTGCCACATTGGATTATATCATTATTATCTAGGGTGATTTTGAATTCGCAAAATTTTCCAAAAAAATCCATTCCTTAAATAAAATTAAACTTCACATTGATCCAATTTATATTCTTCTTTACGCCTAAAACTCAAGTCTCTATAATTCAATTCACAGTCCTTTTGATGAAAGAATGTTGGTATATTTTTAGTTGCTTTTAGGGTTATCTGTTTATCAATGGAGACTCTCACATCTCAAACGCTACATACCAGAAAATTTGCTCTATTACGATGGTCGGCCAACTATCGTAAAAAAGAGAACAAAATGTTTGTTTTCTCGAAAACTACAGCATTCTGGGAGGAAATATTTAACAGACTGATTGAGACTGCTGTGTACTTTCTTTTTCTGGATTATACGGTAGTCCGATTTTCGGAAGTTTACCAAAGGTGTACACCACCTTTGTGACTCGTTCTACTGAGCCATTTACGCACGCAGCACAAATTTCAGACGTATTTACCTGCATTTTAGGACTAACTGCTTCCATAATATAAGGGAAAAACCTTCTGAAGGTTTCCTTAGAGCCATATGTTCGGCTGTCAAGCGCACGAAATTTAAGGTTGTTTGTACACATCGTCTCTATAAATAGAAAGAGTAATTAGGCCTACGCATGTGTACAGCTAAACCAACCACTGACTCCAGAAGCCAGCTATAAGTGTGCACCACTGGAAATAAATTCCCATAGACAGCAGTGATAAATCCCCATACTTCACAAATATTTTAAAATACAACTCTCACAGGTGTTCAGGCTGTACAGAAAAATGATGTTCAACATGTCCTCTTTCATTTTCCTTTCAATTTTCGGGGCTTTGACCAATGAATTTTGGAGAAATTTTCACCAGAAGCAGACCACCCCTAGAATGCAGAAATTGTCCCTGTCCAGAAAAGTAGCCGTTTTGAGAAACCAACGCTCGGCAAAATGGCTCAAATAATTCCACTTTTGGACCCGATTGCATCCAAATTGCTCAGAATTAAAAGCCCTGAGTCCGGCCCAGAGGTTCAGTCTTATATTTCTTCAATTCCTCAGTACAATAGCTCTCAGGACCCTCTAATATAGAATATTTTGAGTCTATAACTTTTATTAATGAGCTCGGCAGACATATTTCTGGCCTAAATACGAGTGTGCACCCACAGCTACCAGTCTCCGATAATTTTTTTATCCGCTCTAAGCGCAACAAAGAGGGCGTGTTGTTTGGAACCATTGATCTCCATTATAAAGACTGGATAGGGCAGCGCATCTGGCGTATGCACGTTAAATAACGAGCGTGGCGACTTTTGTTGCGTGTACTTTCAAATGGAGTTTTTCAAAAATCTGTTGAGGTTATTTTACTTCAATTGTTAGATTTCGTTTTGCACCTGGAATGGATAACTTTGGAAGAATAATGGTTGAGGTGTACGCAGCAGTGATTTATCCGAGATCAACGTCAAGTTTGGAAGACGGAACAGAAGGAAACGTAAGTCACACTTTTTTAGTTTCAGAAAGTTTCCCAAGTTATACTTTATAATGTCTAACTTTAGTAAGAAATTTATGACAGTCTATCTAGCCTATCAGGCTTTGTATATGAGACTTCACTATCTCGAAGTTGGGACCGTCTGAAAGTTACTTATTGGCAAAAGTGGTTTCAAAAACTGAATAACTAATTTGTCGTTTTATTTTCCCCAGATTTCACTGGAAAAATCTCCAAGAAAGCCATGATTTGTGTTTGTCAGATCTACAGACGCACTGAACCCAAATCGTGTGACAGACGATGTGATATGAGTGACAGAATTCTTCTTCAGGGCAGAGATGAAACCAAAGTGAGAAGCAGAGTGCTGACCTTTCTGTTGAGTAAAGTTACAAACAAGGGAACCCAAAGTCAACACAATGAAAGAAACTTTGCCAACATAACCAAATTATTCGTTTTCAGTTAAAAAATGACTTTTTTGTCCGAAAGCAGTTATTAAATGTGAATCTTTCTTTCAGGTTTTGGATCAAACAATCCATTGAAAGTTATTGGGGAAGTTCATTACAGAAGTTAAAGTGAGCGATTCAAATGACACTAGTGCAGAAGCAGATGTTGTTGATGAAGAGGGGCCCGTACTCCTAGGTAAGACACCTGCAGTGATCGGGTGTGCTTAGACTTGGGATAAATCTGATAGGTGGAGAAGTGACCGATAGATACCCAGAATGCTTTGACGGGGTAGGAAAACGGAAAGATTATAAGCTAA